CCTAAATCATAAGTCTCAGTCAACATAATCTGATTTGGAATAATCACACATTTCTTGGCCTAATGCTTTACTGAGAACAACATTAGAGCAAAAGACAGGTGATGAAAGTTCCCTTTTTTCAACATCTTCATAACCTGGTTGAAAATGATAGATTGGCTAGTTTATTGATTTAGGGATGATCAGCAATATTACTTCCCTTAAAGGAGTATTAAGATGATTCATAACAAATTTGAAACCTGATTTCTAGCATCCTGTATAAATGTGTACAGATTCATAAGTTTGGCTCTAAATTTCTACCTTAGAAATATCCTTTTATGTACACAGAGGGCCTCAACTTTGTAGTTCCCCAAGAATTTAGTGACTGCCTATATACACACACACACACATACATTGCTGGAGAAACAATAAAGTGTCATAGCTAAGCTTATACTTAGGTCTGGGTTAAAATACCACCTATGCCTTTTATTAGCTATGGATTTTCAAAGTTACTTAAACTGTCTGTATTTATACTTCAATATTTATAAAAAAGGGTTAATATTATTAACCCCTTAAGGTTTGGGTGATAATTAAACATGCTAATAAATGCAAAACATATAGAACCATGCCTGGCAGACAATAAGTACTCAATAAATGTTAGCAGATAATATTATCTTCGTATAATTTTTACTTTGCTTTCTTATTTGTACCATGGACTCCATGGGTCCCTTCAAGGGTGAAATAAGTATGTATTGAGTTTCCATTTTGATTCTTCTCATTTACACTTGTTACCCAAACTTCAGTCATTCACTTATTATGTTTGTGAGTTTTTTCCATATTTCATACCATAAATTGCTTATTTAATTATATTATTTAAACTTAAATAGGTTTGTTTTGAAACAAAATATATTCATATCACTAGTAAATGGTTTTGATGTGATACATTTTTCTATGAAACCTTAGGATTTTATAAATCACTACCATGAAAACACTCATCAGCTAAAATAATCTCTCATGCCCCTAACAATAGATACACCACACATTTCCAAACATTGCCTTAAATAAAAGCTTTCTGTAGGTGAGTGGAGGGAATATTTAGAGGCAAGTGGGTCACCATACCCATCAGAATCAGTAGTGATCAGAAGAAAGAGGGCATGGAGTTAGCCATAGAAGAAATGGTCCAGCTAACAGTAAATGGCCAATATTGTGGAGACTTACTTGCTGCTGTTCTAACACTTAAAACTTGAGGTACTTCACTTTTTAGGAGAATTGCTTTTGCCCTAAGACTGGAAATCTAGTGGGGTTTTAAGGAAACAGAACAAGAAAACTCTTTCCATCTTGGAACTCTTCCACCCTTGTAAGTTAAATATACGACATATGTATGAAATTTGCAGTGGAGAGTATAAATCTTAGTATAATGAGTAGTAATTAAGAGTAGTGCATTCTAAATGTATAGCAAGATAAAATAAATTTCTGTTTTTTGAAGAGGTTTAGATACCAAATGCATATATACTTCCACTCCTGAGAAGAAGCTGAAGTATCAGTGAATAATTAATAAATGTGAATTTTAGGTTTCTAGGATCACTCCCATTAACTAAGTATTCTGCTCTCAGTTTCCTTATGCATAAGACCTTTCATTTAAATGTTAACTGAGTATCAACTATGGGTACCATATTTGAGGTAATTCTAGCAGCTGCAAAATTCTCTAAAATAGATGAGGGTTCCAAAAAATAGAAGCTTATTTCTCACTTATGTAAGAGTTAGATGCAAGTTTTCTGCAGGAACTCCCTCTGCAACTTTTAAGTATAAAATTATTCCACAATAAAAATTTACTAAAGAAAACAAAGTGAGCTTTACTGGCTTATGTTTGTTTTTGCCACATGGTGGTTCAGAGCCCAAACTCCTTCCATCTTGCATCTTCATCCCACTGTAGAACCTTGTTCATGGAGGGGAAGTACTCCCTGGTTCATAGCCTTAGCCAGGGAATGGCTGGCATTGTTTCTGTTCACATCCATTGGTCTGAACTGGTCACACAGCCACTCCTAACTGCAAGGCAGGCTGAGAAATGTAGCATCCAGAAAAGAGGATACAATTTTGGTGACCAGCCAGTCTTCCATTCAGTCCTCGCTCCCCTTCACCATATAGCCATTTACACCTGTTTTCTAATACTTAGCAATCCATTCATCCGCCCCCACCAAAGGACACAGCCCGAAGTCCCGTCCAGTTATAGCATCAAGCTCAAATTTCAGAATCTCTGGTGATAAACGGCTCTCTCTCTAAGGTCCAGGTTTTGGGGGAGGAGTAGGGAGACAGCACAGGTAAGTGATTTAGAGCTTGAGACAAAAGCTCTCTCCCACTTTCCCCACCACATCCAATAGATAACAATGGAGCAAGATACCTGGAAAAAACAAACAAACAAAAACCCTTCTCATTTGTAAAAGGAAAAAAAGGTAAACAGCCAACAGTCATTAGACCAAAACAATAATTAAATCCTACTGGTCAGGCTCTGTGAGACAACTTCCCTGGAAGTAGAGACAGTCCCTGACTCTCCTTTCTGGAATTCCCCAGGGCCACTGTTCTCCAGGGCGTCTGGCCCTGCTTTCTGAAGTCTCTTCCTTCATTATCTTCCATAGGCCATCTGTGAAGTCAACATTGGAGAAAATTATCTCCTTAGAATTTTACTTTATTCATAATAAAGTTTTCATAGAGCAAATGTGGGGCTCCAGGGTTGCATAGAGTCATGGATATTTTTAGGCCAGGATTCTGATATTATTTATTTATTTATTATTTTTTGGTAAAACCATTATCTCAGAATCTTCACAGACATTGATCTAATTCCTTCAGTCAGTTGCTTGTGCCAGTAACCAGAGCCAAGGACAATGAAGTCCTTTCCTAGACATAGTACTCAGGCCTGCTTTATTTCTTTAATTTCTTATACCCCTCTCTCTCTCTCTCTGTCTCTCTTTCATCCTCCTCTTGCCCCTTCTTGTTCCTTCCCTCTTTCTTTCTCTCCATGTAAATATGAAATAATATTAATGAGACTTTCTGATTAAATTATAAAGCAGTATAAGATTTGATTATAAATTCTCTTTCTCTTTTTGTTTTATTGTAGAATATGTCTATGAAGCTTCTTTAGGGGAAAGAACATTAAGATTACTTTTCGTTTGTTCCAAAAGCACATAAAACAAGTGTGATTTTTAAATATTTAAACATATCTTGATAATAATAGAAGACATGACACTTAAAAGAATGTTGATTCTGAAAAAGCTGAGCTCACATAATCAACAAAAAACATTTCAGGCCAGGCACAGTGGCTCATGCCTGTAATCCCAGCACTTTGGGAGGCCGAGGCAAGTGGATCACGAGGTCAGGAGATCGAGACCATCTTGGCCAACATGGTGAAACCCTGTCTCTACTAAAAAATACAAAAATTAGCTGGGTGTAGTGGTGTGTGCCTGTAGTCCCAGCTACTTGGGAGGCTGTGACAGGAGAATTGCTTGAACCCAGGAGGCGGAGGTTGCAATGAGCCAAGACCACGCCACTGCACTCCAGCCTGGCTCCTGGCAACAGGGCAAGCCTCTGTCTCAAAAANAAAAAAAAAAAAAAAAAAAAAAAAAAAAAAAAAAAAAAAAAAAAAAAAAAAAAAGAAAAGAAAAAAACATTTTAATATCAAATATTTTGTCCTAGTTAAAAAATCACCCTGACACATAGAGGTGTGGAACAATGCTTTTATCATCCTTAGATTCTGGTGAAAAATTCAGATGAAGCACAGCAGCAATAGCTTGTTTCTACTCCACAATATATATGAGGTCTTTTCTGGAAAGTTTGAAGGTTGGTGGAGACCCAGTGGCCAAAGGGCCATTATCAGGAGTTATTTTTTTTTAATTAATTAATTATTATTATTTTTTTTGAGATGGAGTTTCGCTCTTGTTACCCAGGCTGGAGTGCAATGGTGTGATCTTGGCTCACCTTTTTTTAAATTTTTAATGTTTTTTAGAGTAGGGTCTCACTCTGTTGCCCAGTGTGGAGTGCAGTTGTGTGATCATAGCTAACTTCAGCCTCGAAATCCTGGCTCAAGTGATTATCCCACCTGAGCCTCTGGAGTAGCTAGGGACTGACTATAGGTATGTGCCACCATGAATAGCTAATTAAAAAAAATATTTTGGAGAGTTGGAGTCTCACTATGTTGCCCAGGCTAGAGCTCTTTTTAAATTTAATGTTCTATTTTTAATTATTAGTGGTACATAATGTGTGTGTATGTGTGTGTGTGTGTGTGTGTGTGTGTGTGTGTGTGTATGGGATATGTGCGATGTTTTGATACAGGCCTACAATGTATAATAATCAAATCAGGGTAATTGGGATATTCATTAACTCGAGCATTTATCATTTTGTACTTTGCATGTCCTCAGTCATATGGGGGAGCAATGAAACAATTGATCTCATCGAGATAGAGAGTAAAATGATGATTACCAGAGCCTGGGAAGGGTAGAGGACTTCTTTATACTCATAAGCTTGGTGGTTGATGCTGGCTGTCTCCTGGAGCATCAGCCTTTCTATCCGTCGGAAACCTACAAGGCTTTCCAGGTGTTCACTCTGTAGGGGTGATTTGGGATTCCTCCAACATATTGACCAACAGTGAGGTTCTCAGATGACACAGGAGAATATATGACTTTTTTGTGTTCCAATCTTTGAAATCATAGAGTGGAACTTCTGCTGTACTTTTTGGTTGAGGCAGGCATAAGGTCTGCCCAGCTTCACATGAGAGAACACAGACTCCATCATGTGAAGAAAGGGTTGTCAAGATTCCATGGTAAGCAGAGTATTGGGTTTGAGATGTGGTTGCAGCCAGCCATGTGAGCACACGTTTTATTCAAATTAGTCAGAGTCCAAAACATTTACTTCTCATTTTATAGTACAGTACTTAATGCTTGAATGGCACTGAATATGGTTATTTTTATGTGTACCCTTACTAAACTCTATTAAGAAAAATAATGTAACAATATCAAATGTTAATATATTTGCAGATACCCCGACACAGAAGGAATCATTCACAGCATGTCTTGAAAGATGTAATTCCTCCATTGGAACAACTGGTGAGTGGTTAAGTCAATATATTCTTCATCTAATGATACAAAATAAATTACTGCAAAACAGTAACTTAGCACAGCATATGTTATTATCTCATGTTTCTGTGAGTCAGGAATCAGGGCATCATTTAGTAGAGGGGTCTAGCTTGGTGTCTTTCAAAACGTTGCACCAAAAGTGTCAGTCAGAATTGGGATCTCATCTGAAGGCTTGACTGGGGAAGGTATGCTTTCAAGCTCACTTATGTGGTTGTTGGCTAGGTTCAGTTCTTCCAGGACTGTTGGCCAAAGGCTGCTCTTATTTCCTTGCCACACAGATTTCTCCAAAATAGCAGCTTGCTTTTTCAAATCATGTGAGATGAGAAGGCAAGAGGGAGAGTTTGCTAGCAAGACAGAAGTCAAAATCTCTTGTAACCTAATTGTAAAAGCAATATGCTATCAGCTTTGCCACATTCTTTTGGTTAAAAGTAAATCACTAAGTCTAGTTCACACAAGGTGAGAGGATTACATAAGGATGTGAATAATGGGAACCAGAGACTACTGATGGCTTTTGTAAATATGATAGTTTCTTTGTTAATGTTGTTGTTGTCTTCAGGAAAAATTAATAGGCTCAACATCCATAAGAATGGTACTTTTCTTTTTCCATTTTTTGTGTATTGTTATATCCTAGTGACTAAAAGAGTACCTGAAACATAACATAAATAAATATTCTAGATATCTTAAAAACACATAAGCGCAAACTTTCTGACATGTTCTGATACTTCTTTCTTTTAATGACCTCCTTTTTGATAAATACAATATGCTTTTTCTTTATACCCATTCGACTTGTGTTTTCTGCTATATTTCATATTGGTTGATATGTTTCCAGTCCTATTGGCTTATAGGACACTGTACCGTGATGACTGTATTCCTATCTGTCTCTAGCTATTCCATCCCTGTTATCTTTAGGATGTCTCATCCTCAGCAACAAAAATAATTTGTTTTTCCTTTAGCATTCCTGCTTTCAATTGCTTTTGCATGTTCCAGATTCCATATCCCCACTCCAGCTATTTCTCTTTACTCTTCTTTATTTTAGGATAAGAATTTCTCAAAAGAATTATCTACTTTTGCTGTTTCTAATTTCTGCCCTGTCTTTGTCTCTTGAACCAACCCTATTTAGGCTTTTATCTCAATCATTTACCTCTTGTCTGGCTTACCAATTGCCTCCATATTGTTAAATCCATCAATAACTTCTCAGTTATCTCTTCAGTAGGTCTATCTGAGCATTTAACCCAATTGGTAGCTCTCTTCTTGAATCAATTGCCTATTGGATAAAATGTTCACTCTTTGGGTAATAGGTACAGTAGAAGCCCAGCTCCCACCAGTATGCAGTATATCCACATAACAAATAAGCACATATATCCCCTGAATCTAATTTTTTTATGAAAAAGAAACATTTTCCTCACATGGCTACCAGTAAAACAGTTTCTCATGGCTCTCCAATGAGCTGGAGAGCCACCCCTTTTCAATCCCCTTTGCTGGTCCCTCTTCGTTTTGGAGCTCACTTTGTAACTTTTCGTTTTTCTCTCTGTAGTAATTCCCTAGGGCATCTCATTCAGTGTTAATGGCTTTAGAGACCATGTAACACTAGCCACTTCTAAATATCTGTTTCCAGCACGGACCACAGCTTTGAACTTCAGTGCTACATACTGCGGCATTTTTATACACAATTCTAATATACATCCCAAACTTAGCATATCCAGAACTGACCCCGATTTTTGCCCAAACCCATTCTCCCAGTCTACTCCATTTCACAAGATGCTAGCTTCGTTCCTCCAGGTGCTTCAGACAAAACACTTAAAATCATCTTCCCTTGTTTCTGTCATGACATAAATGAACACCAAAGAACCCAGTTTTCTCTGTCTTCAAAATACATTCAGAATCAGTTCATTTCTCGCCACCATTACTGTCATCTATCACCTGATTTATTGAAATAGTTTCCCTGTTTACTCACTTTCACTTTCTTTCTACTGTTTATTTTCAACACAGCAGTGGGTGTGATCCTGTTAAAATGTAAATTAGATTATGTTTCTTATCTTAGTTGGTTTGTTACTACAACAGGCACCACAGACAAGGTGGCTTTTAAACAGCAGAAATTTATTTCTCACAGGTCTGGAAGCTGAAGTCCAAGATCAGCATTCCATTCTGGTCAGGTTCTGGCAAGGGCCCTCTTCTGGGCTGCAAGCAGATGACTCCTCCTTGGATCCTCACATGGCAAAAAGAGGGCAAGAGAGCTGGGGTCCCTTTAAAAAAGGCACTAATCCTATTCATGAGAGCTCTACCTTTATGACCTAATTACATCCTAATAGAATTACATTGGAGTTTAGGATTTCCATATATGAATTTTAAGGGGAAACAAACTTGTTGCCCATCTCACATCACTCCTTGAATCAAAATCCTCCCTGGCTTTTAGTCTACTCCAGGTAAAAGCTGAGAAATGTCCAATGGTTCCCTAGGCCCTAGAAGACTCATCGGCCTCCCCAGTCTCACCTCTCCCTTTCTTCTCCTGTCTCCTTCTGCTCCAATGAAGCTGATAACTCTTCCTCTGCAGGACCATTGCACCTACTTTTGCCTCTATCTCTTACAAAATAAGGGGCCAAGTATGGTGGCTCATGCCTGCAATCCCAGCACTTTGGGAGGCCGAGGCAGGCAGATCACCTGAGGTTGAGAATCAAGACCAGCCTGACCAAACTGGAGAAACCCCATCTCTACTAAAAGTACAAAAATTAGCCGGGCATGGGGGCGCTAATCCCAGTACCTGTAATCCCAGCTACTCAGGAGGCTGAGGCAGAAGAATCACTTGAACCTAGAAAGCGGAGGTTTCGGTGAGCCGAGATTGTGCCGTTGCAACAAGAGCTAAACTCTGTCTAAAAAAAAAAATTATTTGGTTCCCAGAAATTTGTACATCTCATATGTTCCTTTGCTTCACATCTCTGCTCTAATATCATCTTTTGGATAGGTCTTCCCTAATCTCCCTTTAAAAACAAAACAAAACAAAACAAAAAAACCCATAGGGGCTCAGCGTGGTGACTCATGCTTGTAATCTCAGCACTTTGGAATGCCAAGACGGGTGGCTCACTTGAGGTCGGGAGCTCAACACTAGCCTGGCCAACATGATAAAACCCCATCTCTACTAAAAAATACAAAACATTAGCCAGGTGTGGTGGCACGCACCTGTAGGCCCAGATCATTACGAGGCTGAGGCAGAAGAATCACTTGAACCCCAGGGGTGAAGGTTGCAATGAGCCAAGATTGTGCCACTGCACTCCAGCCTGGACAATGGAGTGAGGTTCTGTCAAAAAAAAGAAAAAAAAACAGAAACCTACAAATGAACAAACAGGAAACCACACCATTTCCATCTACACTTCTCTCTTACCTTAATTTACTCTATAGACCTTACCACCAGGTGGCATACTACAACATTTATTTTTGTTTTTTTGTAATCCCAATTAGAATTTTAGTTCTATGAGGGCAAGGACATTGTCTCCTATGTTCATTACGCCACTCCCATGTTAAGGACTCAGTAAATATGTATTGAATGAAGGCATAATGCAAATGCAATGGCTTTTGTTTTTACTCCCAAGTTTGTAATACACAGGTCTATGCTCCTATACTTCTCTCCTTTATCTTATCCTATATCTTCAAGTGTGAATTAGTCGTTTGTTTTAGGATGTTGTCTCTGTCATCACAGAAACAAAATATCCCAAGTTGAACTCTTCCTCAGTGCCTTCCCAAACTGATTCCTCCTTTCCATTGAGCCTATCTCTGTCAGTAGCAAACATTTCTCTAGGATTACAACACATTTTCTCTATGTCCTTTATTTTATCCCAGACCCTTCAGATAAGTCATCATTTTCTGATGAAATTTCTCCTCAATGATTGTAGTGTCCGTATACTTCTTCTTCTGCACCCTGAAACTCTCATCCAAGCCTTGAAATGCTTCTGACCTTACCTTACCCTGCTGTGCACCCCACTGATCCTATGCAGCAATTCCAGAGCAGCCTTCTTTCAACAGTACCTTCATCATTTCATTTTTAAATTTTCTCTAGCATCATGGTCCCCAATTTACGTTATTTATTATCCTCTCTCAAACACATACCCTCAAGCCAGGAGTAGTAACATGATTAAGACATGGCTCTTACCCTGAAGGAGCTTGGATTTCCTGTAGCAATTACAGTCCTTTCATCCCAGCTCATGTTCATACGTTGTTTTGTGTTGTTCACTCTTATTTCATAGGTAATAGACTTGTTCCATGGCTGGATTGTAAATGTCTTGAAGTTAGAGGCCATGACTTGTATTTTCTTTATTATACCGTACTTCTACTTAGATTACTTTTGGCACTACTGCTTGTTTAGGAAAGACATGTGAATTGATGTAAAAATAAATTGAAAGTTTATTAAAACAACGTTGCTAGTTGCAGATACTAATAAATATATGCCTGATATAGTAAAAGCCAATTTTTCAATGTAATTAGATATAATAATATCTCGTTTTCAAAATTAGTTACATGGATCTCAACTTAGAAAGCATTTTCTCTAGGAAGGATTTATCTAATTCCTCAAATTTGAATTAGGTAGCCCTTCTTTGATCTGTCTCTCAATAGCTTGGTCTTGCCTCTATTCCAGCCCCATCACACTAAAACTGCTTATTTCTTTTATTGCTCTTACTGAGCTATAAGCTATTTGAAGGGAGGGCTATGTCTTATTTATTTTTTTACTATTAGGACTTTGTATAAAGGCTGGCACACTGTAGCTCTCCAATAAATAGGAAAATAAATGCTTTATTTGTTTGATTTTATTTTAAATAAATTTGGATTACACAGAAAATAACTACAAAAATAATTATAAAGAGCTGGATTATTTTATAAAAATAACACATATAAAGTTTTCTCAGAAGCATTTGATGAAACGTGGCAAAGGTTAGGCTGACAATGGAGCTCAGTAAATGTCTGTGTATACATAAATATGTACT